GTGGTCTTGGACGTTGTGGTTTTGGAGATTACGTACCTTGGATGTTGCGTCTTTGGATGTTGCGTTTTCTGGATGATACGTTTTTGGACGTTGCGGTTTTGGATGTTTCGGTTTTGGACTTTGTGAATGCCCCCTATAAACCCGATTTTGGACGTATTTTGGACGTTGCGTACTTTGGACGCTGCGGTTTTGGATGTTGCGTACTTTGGGTGCTGCGGTCTTGGACGCTTTGATACGGACCCACCGTGGCACCGCGGCGGTTTGAGTGACTGGGATAGGATAGCGTTGAGCCGCGGGCGTGAGGCGATCACGATCTGCCCGGTATCTGACTGCCACTGACAGATGCCGACGACAGGCTGATAGGTGGGTGCAAACAGTGTATACAGACGGACTGCAGCCGTGAGAGGTGCCACTGCACAGCCGTGAGTCGTGAGTGAGGCGATATCACGACTTAACGGGACAGTAAACAGGTGTATAAACAGCAGGGAATGCTGCGAATGAGGCAGGAAGCAGTGTTTGAAAGCGGAGGGGGTGCACGTTCCAAAAATGTTTAACTTATTTGTTTTGTTTTGAATGACGCTCACCAGTCAAATAAAAAAAAAACTTTACACCGTTTCTGACCATCCCGCCCAAATCACTAAATCGGTCAAGCGCTGTGCTGCTAAGTCAAAAGCTGTGGTTCTTGAGTCAATTCGAAGCTCACTTTTTACTCCTAAAGGGGTGCCCAGCGGTCATTGGGAGCGGTCGTGTCAGGTCAGCCGGGATGAAATCTGCGAGCTGGCCTCTTGCACCAAACTACCTAGCTAGGTAAAATCGAAAAACCGGTTTCAGAATAAGCTAATCTAAAGGTGGTAAATTTGTTTGCAATAGCCCAATACATAATCCTACATGTGCTTGCTAAATTTTGCACGCAAATTGTTACATTTGAGACTTGGACTGGGTATACAATGCAAAATAATCCAAGCATTGGTGCAAGAGGATTTCGGTGCAAGAGGCCTCTGAACAACCACACTCTAAGTTCGACCTTCAACCTTTCCGTGCCTATGCTTCTGTTTCACCCAAGCCCGCCAGTCAGGACGCTGCAACTGCCCACAACCCTTCCACCAGACACCTCGATCATTACTTCTCGGCGTCTCACCCAGCTAAATGACGTCACTGGTGGCCAGTGCTGACGTCACTGGGGTCGACCCCACACGGCGTCGTAGTTATACATCTTTAACCCTCGCCGGACCTATTGGTTTTCTACATACGCGCCGGCCGAGGGGGGGGGGGTACGACCCCCCCTCGCCGTTTCGCCCCTGGTGGAGCTAGCGCGTCGCGGAAAAAACGAGCGTGTGCGCCGTTACCAGACGCAGAGATTGGTACCCGGTTTTAAGGTCCTAGGTCAACCGGTGACCTCTGAGGTCAGGTCAAGTGCCCCAAGGTACGGTTCAGTTTTTGGTGAATAACTTCGCAAAAAAACGGCCGCAGAGCGCCGATTTTGGCAGCATCGTGTTCGTCTCGCTCAGGCGCGTCGAATGATATACTTTTTGTCCGGGTCAGGTCAACTTGGGGTGTTGACCTCAGGTCAAGGTCAGGTCAGCACCCCCAGGTCACGAAGTTGGTTGAAAGAGGTCATGTCGCATATCATTCGATTCGGTAGGTCTTCCTGAGTCCATTGGTGGCTTTCCCGACTCGCTAGCTCAATTTGATCAAGAGTTATTGACGACAAACTAATATGACCTTGATGACGTCATAAATGACGTCACGCAAGGTCAACATTGCAAAAGTGACGCATCTAACCTTGCAAGGAGTGCATCAAATCACGATTCTGTGTGCTTGAGATAGTTGGAGATCGTTCCCGGCGCCAGAATAGCAGTTTGAATTTTTCCCCATTGACTTATAATGGTGAGGTCACGAAAATGACCTGACCTCATATGACCTTTAGGAAAAATCCGAGATATACAAGTTGTGGGACTCATAATGGATACTAGATCCTGCAAGTTTCATTACCCTATGACATCTCCTCTGGCAGTGAGGGCGTTGCGAAGTTGCGACATCTGAAGACCGTGCAGAGGTTCACTTATGACGTCATAGGTCAGTGACCTGACCTGACCCAAAATGCGGTTGGTTTCAAAAGATCCGGCTTGGATCGAAGGTCAGGTATGCCAAGTTTCAGCTCTCTATCCCCAGCGTGTTCGGAGCTATCGCGAAAAAACCCTATGGGGGGGGGGGGGGCGGCACCCGCCCCCCCCCCCCGCCGCCGGCGAGGGTTAAGCCCGGTTCTGACTGCCGTTTTTCGATCGTTTGGTGGATCGTATGGTGATCGTATCGTGATCGTATGGTGATGGGATGGGGATCGGCACGCTCGTTTCCCGATCGCCGCGATGGTAATCGTATGTGTGCAGTGAGAACCGGGAAAAACGTGACTGTGCGCGTCGTTCGGTAGCGGCAGATCGTACGTCGTATTGCGTTCCGTCGAAAGATGGATTGAGTTTATCTTTTGTCTTGATCGTATCGTACAGTTGACATCGTGTGGAGAACTCACTGTGCTGCTGCTTTTCTTGCTGCTGTCTTGTGGAAGGTTTGTGCTAACATATTTGATATAACTTATCTTATCAGTACAGTAGCATACTCTAAATAAATAAGCTTGATTGACATACTTATAATCAAAGTAGGTACTTCCACTTTGAAGATACCATACGAAAAATCATTGTTTCGTTCAGATGCGTCAATTACATCTGTTATTTTATTGCACGAAAAAGCCTCACCCGATAATGTTAATTTGATACTTAAATTAAAGAAATGTTTTAACTACATTTAACCTCTTTTTAAGGCTGAAAAGTGTTAATTACCCTCTTTATAGATCTCGTCCCGTTCACGGCGGCCAATCAACGCGCTTCCCCCAGATGACGTCATCTGTGCGCCTGCGCTCTGCCGAGCCGGCAAGCCTCGTGGTGACCGGCGATTTACCGGCGACACCGGAGGTGGCAGGAGGTGGTACATAGATATCTTACCAATGAATTTCTGTCAATTTCAACGAACCGATTTTCAAGAAAACCGATGCACAGCATTCACAATACTCACTTTTAGGTTGTAGGTTACTTTCCAGGACAATTTGACATGATTTTCTATTTTTCCACGCATTTTCAAAATCGCGTACCTTCCACGGCCGAGAATGGTTTCCACCGCCATGCCAAGCCATGCTGCTCCAATCAAGCCGAAATGTTGATTAACTTCACGGAACAGTCAGACCCGACTATTCAAACTAAATTATTGAATTAGAGAGATGTTTTAAACTACATTTAACGTCTCTTTAAGCGTAAAAAGTATTTATTTCGTTCTTATCTATCACCGCCGGCAGTAATGGCGGACGCAGACTCCCACACGATACGCATTGGATACGCACGATCCGCACGATACGATCTACCAGTTACCAGATCGTATCGGGCCTAGAGATTTTCATCTTTTTCCGCCAGCCACGCTCACCATACGATCACCATACGCTTACCATCCGCTCCGATCGATTTCGGCAGTCAGAACCGGGCTTTAAGTGTCGCCGGTGGTCACTGTATGTCCTACAGCGCAGTGTCATCAGCAGGGTGTCTGCAGTCAATGTCCATCATCGTGAAGACCGTAGGGGCAGAGGGCGGTCAGTCAGCCGCGGCCAAGAGGGTCTCAATTGTAAATAGACGTGTAACGGACCAGGGTGGACAGCAGGGGTATGAGGAGCCCGCCTAGGTCGGATGGTAGGGAACTTTTTGATCCTGAGGCCGCCTTGTGATTATGTCGAAACTGTGGTCAGATAAACTTGGTCTGACACGCCTCGATGAGCGAGTCTCCTGTCACGTGATTGGACGGGGCGAGCAGATAGATGACGGCCTCTGTCAGTCCGTCCGATGGCTGACAAGTGACAGGATCATGACTTTTAGCAGACACAAAATCAAGAGCCGGGGAAGGACAGAGGAGCCAAATAAATCTGGCCACTGCGCGGCGCGCGCTGTGAACGATTCCGGCTGCTACCCATGTGAAACTGTGACCGCATGGCGCATAGCTCACAAACACATGACGTCGTTCTCTAAGAAAACCGCGATACACTGGTAAAATAGTCACTGCCGAGGCCTCTTGCACCAAGCTACCTAGCTAGGTAAAATCGAAAAACCGGTTTCAGAATAAGCTAATCAAACGGTGGTAAATTTGTTTGCAATGGCCCAATACATAATCCTACAGGTGCTCGGTAAATTTTACACGCAAATTGTCACATTTGAGTCTTGGATTGGGTATACGATGCAAAATAATCCAAGCATTGGTGCAAGAGGATTTTGGTGCAAGAGGCCTCCGCATAGACTCCATCTGTCTACACACCTAACCACACGGACTTCCATCAGGAAACCATGTCATTTCTGCAATCCGTTACCGGGAAATATGCCACCCACCTACACTTTTCCACTGGAACACAGACTCGTCCCTAGCTGTTATTGAGCAGTGAGCACGCCACACGGCCTAGGTTTCTAGGAAACGTTCATGTTCAATAGCGCAGCTCGGACCGATGCGCCTTGTCAAAAACTGCGTTATTTAAGTTCGGCGGGGTAGACGGAACCAGCGCATTGCTGGATGATTGTTGTTAAACTTTGGATTCCAACTGCTCAGTATGACGTCAGCGGCCCATAAGTGATCACTGATCACCCGCCTCCCTACACGGTTTGAATATTCATCGGAAGGGTGCTGTCATGGTCAGCTCGTGTCCGTGTCTCGCCGTGAAACAATAAACAGGGCTCACTGGGACACGGGCAGGGTCTCCTCATGTCCATCAGAGCTGGCTTCTGATAACGGCCAAGCAGCCTTGGGCTGAGCGCCGCATAAGTGTCGGACGTGCCAACTCTATACGGACTTGACACCTGTGCGGCTTATGTGGACAGGTGCCGACCCAACACTTTTCCTCCGATGTCCACCGTTATCACAGTACACCTGTCACATTAGCTAACACAGCCGCTCAGGGTGAGGCCGGTCTCGGTACTCACGTCTCCTTCGTCCTTCCAGGGCTCGGCGTCCAGGATCTGGACCTGCTTCACTTCGATCACCTCCGTCACCTGCGTGTCCGACTGTGGACAGAAGGGGAGGCAGGAGGTCAGACTGTGAGAACAGTGTTATTCTGTCCGACTGTGGACAGAAGGGGAGGCAGGAGGTCAGACTGTGAGAACAGTGTTATTTTGCCCAACTGTGCTGCCGTGCAAAGGCAAAACCAATTACGTCGGTCAGAGGCCATTACCTCCGGCCAGAGGTCACCCAATGGGTAGAAGGATGTTAGAAAAAAGACTTCAGTCAGAAGGATCGCTTAGTTTCAATCAATTGAGCTTTTTCCATTTGTAGGTAAAAGGGACGTCACGGAGCATACTTTCAGCTTTTAAAGCTTGCACTTCCTACATAAATTCAATCAGTTGACTCAACAGCATGGGTAAAAAGTAAAGAGCTTTTCAGAGGCTCATTGAAAAATGAATCGAGCTTTTGAGCAGCAAGGAAGTCTCGGCCACGTCACCAGTAAGGTATCCCGGACATTGTTACGGCAGTAAGAACACGTTTTCGTGTCAAATGTGCATTCGACGTCCCGCACAAACAATCCAGCGCGTCGTGGAGTGACACGCCTGCGGTCAGCTGACGTCAACAGTTTCATCTGATAGGCATTACTGTTCCATTACCGGGTGCATGATCGCCCCCTTCTGGGGCACACGGCTGAGCGAGTCTGACCGCTATCTGACCAGATCTGACCACTTCTGAAACACTAACCTAACCGGAGTTGACCGCGACACACGCCGTCCGTTTTCACGAGGGTGTTTTTAACTGTGTAGCAAGTCGTGATAGCAGGCACGGAAGGCAGCAGAGATACGTTGCAACAACATATCAGTGGCGACGGGTACAACACTAATAGAGCAATAGCTAACACTAATATCATTGTGCTAACACTGACCTGAAACCTAAGGGCATGGACACAAGAAGGGTCGGCTCGTGACCTTGTCCCTATCCCAATCCCGACTGGGCAAAACCTCGAGTACTATGCACATAGCTGATGCACTGATGTCACCGGTAACTTCATTACCTTTGAACGATCCGTCGGTCACTGTGATGTATGAGACGACTTATACATCAGCCATATGCTAGAGCCGGAATTTGAACATCAGAGTTCAGTACAAGCCGCTCGACCCAGCTGGCAGTACTTATTTACATAAATAATGCATGCATACGAGCATGCCCAGTGACCTTGTGACGTATTCTGAGAGAAGGTCAACACACCCGGACTGCGTGTCAGACTACGTTCTCTCCGAATTTGTAAGCACTTCGAAGAAGACTTCCGTAAGTAGCACACGATATGGAAAGCACTTAAATGTAATTACATCATGACTTTGATAAAATGATGCATCCGTAGGTAAACGTTTTTTTCCGGACAAGTAAAACTGAATGATCAGAGGAGCCCGGAGGCCTCAGCACGGCCTCAACTACCGTTATTGGGCTGCTGAGCACCTGTGGCTATCACCATCATGAGTTGGTCTTACTGACGTCATGCAAGGTCAGGCAGCTCGGCTGACACAGCCTTGGGCAGCCCTAAACAACGGAGATCAGTTGCGTGTCACGACCAAGGCGGCCCGGACACCGGCCGCCCATCCCTGTCTATCACGTGATCGCTGACGTCACCGGTACACGAGTTGTAATCACCAGCGGGCCCGTGTAGCCAGTGCCACCCCCGTCCGACCGGTCCGACCCGCACTGATCAACGATACAGATACATCCTGTACAGGTGACTCATCCGCCCGGCGGCTGAGGAGGATTTAGTACGGTCACGAGCCCGCCGAGGAAGGTCGTGTTCGGCTATGCGGACACGGCTCACGCTCGGTTCTAAACATCGTCGTCTACCCGGAATTTCCAGTCGAGGATCGATGGAGAACAGAATTTGCGCAGAGATGTTTGTTTAGCGTGTGTGCTGGCCTCGGAAATCCGTACGTTCGAACTGTTTTAAAAGGGTAGAACGGGGGAGGATGATATGCATGTTGTGGAGGACCCGGAACGGGATGTGGCGGCTTGTGCTGCGGCCCAGCATGCAACTACAATGGACGGTGCACGGATGAATCACCAGCTGCGCATCAGACCTGTATCAGTGTTTGTATAACACGGCCCGATTGGCCAGTGGCGATGGACCGGCGACTGACGAGCAATGATACACTGCCACTGTATCTGACACCCAAGAGTTAGCGTTGATGGACATATGACTTTGGACCTTCGACAAAGCGCATAGGTAAGGTGATGTGTTATTGAGTGCTCAGCTCTACCGTACAGTCGTGGGCTCGAGGAGGTGACAGCCATTTGAGTCTCCAGCCCGTAGTGCCAAGGAGAAGTGTGGTGCACAACTGCGCACCCGGAAAAGACGCGACATTTTACGCGCGGTGATGTCACCTGAGTGATGAACCGATGTAGAAGACTGCTTACCTATAGGCGTAGCGTCGTTAACTGGGCATGGATGACGTAGGTTCACCCAATAAGGATTTTGATTAAAGTAGGATTAAGAAGTGATCACTGATTAATGATCACGACACGGAGTGGCCGACTTAGTGCTCAGGTGCTAACCGCAGAGCCGGCCGGCGGCTCATCGCTTCGCATCAATGCAGAAAGCCCCAATAAACAAACTTCCTCAGCCAGCGAGCAGCCTAGCTGGTATTTCCAGGGCGCAAATAGCCCATTGCATCATATTCCGCTACCTTAGACAAACGTTGCTCCTCTTGGAATATCACTCTAAACATGTCACATCCACGTGCAACATTAACACCACTCGATACCAGTGCCCAAGGTAAACCCCAGTGTCTTACCTTCAAGCAATAAATCGCAGAGTGATCACCGCTAGATCTGTGTCATTACCATCAGAAACACCCCAATGTTTAACCAGTCACGGAATATGCCGATTACCAGTCCTGCGTCGCATGACACATACACATAAACCGAGATGTGGCAATCGAACACGGGCCTTATTGGCAATTAGCGTGTGCAATGAAAGCCAACAGCCGCGCGGCTTCCCATTACCCCGCCGTGGTGACGACAGAATAAGGTCGGACAGAGCTCGCTCGTTTGAAATGAGCAGGGTGGTGCGCTAATTTCCATAACAAGACGAAACCTTAGCCGGCGATTAAAAGCCGACATTAATTCGGCCACGGAAACCCTTCGTGATTCGTATGTAGCTCTTACCTTAAGTACGCTGATGCCTGATTTAGCATAGCTTAATTTCCATCTTAAAACCAAGGATATATAGAAAGGAAGCAATGGAACCGATGTGCGGGCTTAAGCGAATTACAAAACATGCGATAAATATGACACAAAGGGAAACAAATAGCGACCACTCATCGAACGCAATTTGTCCAACGAAAAAATGTCACCTTTCGAGGCCACCTATAAGAAAATCGTGTTCATTGGTCATAGACGGCCATCTACCAGCTACCTTTATCCCTCACGGTACCAAGTCACGGGACCGGTTCGTGAACCAACGTGTGTGACTTCCGTGACTGCCGAATCACGGTCGTTACCGTCTGTTACACACCGGCCAGCGTCAAGGAATCGGCGTCTCGGGCGTCACGATCCGGATACAACAGTAATAGAAGTGACTATAAGCCGAGCCACGGGAAATGGTTTCGTGACAGCTGATATCGGTAGCTAACTTTGTTATGCATCCAACACCAGCCTCAACAGGTTGATAACTCTACCAGGTCGAATTATCTTTCAGATACGAGGTCAGGTCACCACTGTACATACCTCACCAGTCACCACTGTCAGCTCAGTACAAGGTGACCTGAATCGCCGGTCATACCCAGCTGGACTCCGGGGAAATACCCCCCCCCCCCCTCCCCGAACCAAAATGTCACCACGGTCCCAGCGGCACCACACCTAACGGCTAACACCAAGGACACGACCTCCTGCCAATTGCCCACGTCAAACAGCTCATACCACGGCGACAGCCAGGCTGCAATCAATCTACATCTGTGATGCAATAGACGGCTGGTGTATATTCACGGGAAGACGACACCTATGGAAAACCCGATACCGGCAGAAACCATGTTTTGATTCGATTGTGATATCCCCACCAGCCGTGTTAGTGTCACAAGCACTAGCCGTCACGGCGGCACCAAGACCCGTCACACTACCTGTGGTAGTGTCACCAGCACCAGCCGTCACGGCCGTGTCACAGTTCGTCACGTCACGGTATGGCTCCCGCACCGGTCTGAGGTGAGCTTGGAGCGTCACCTCCACCGACTCAGTTACTTGTGACGCCACGCCCGTGTCGGAACAGTGGCCGTGGAGCGCAGTGACTGACAGTGTTGCGGTCTGACAGACAGCTATATAGTTTGTCTGACATGCTTCTTCGCCATTGTGCACCTCGTTTCTTAAATTTTTTTTGTTTAATTTCAGAAGCCCAAGTTGCGATCCGTTCTATGTCTAGCTCGCTAATGTCTGGTGCTCCACATTTCAGTCATCTGGCAAGTTGCACCGCAATGCGTATTCTGCAATGCACGACGCCCCCGTTGTACCACGATTCAGCGGTCAGCATCATTGTCATACCAGTCTTCCATGCCCCCACATGCCCCGGCCCTCTCACGGTCAGTCAGCCGACTCTCGGTCAGACAATTGGCCGGTGCAGTGGGCCACCGCCCGCCGCCCTGCCGCCGTGGGCGGGGAGTGGGGAGGGGAGTCTGGACCGGACCCGCACTGAGGGGCAGCCGGTGGGCACGGCGCCCGGTCGTGCCGGGCCGTGCTGGCCACGCCGCGGCTCAGAGGGGCACTACACCGCGAGAACGCTGCAACACGACTCGCGCGGCTACAAACAATACGGCGCAGTAAACAGATCCGTAGGGAGGCTTTGAAATGTGGATACCGGCTTCATAGCCACAGCCCACAGAAACACTACGGATGAAGAATGGGTAACTTAGGGCTAATGTAGGTAATGTTGATCGAATATATGCTTGAACTTACTCTTTTCCTACTGATAAGAACCACGACTGTCTTGCGCTGCCAGTAACTAAATCCCGACAGAAAAGGGCGTGGCTGCCACGCCCCCAATCCCAGCGAATCCTGACAAACGCTGGTAAACCATCCGACATTAGAGAGCCCCAGCCGCCGGAGAGCAGGCTGAGTGCAGTGGGCCACTCCCATAATTTCCTGGGAGGGCTCGCTCTCAACAAAAAATACCCGGGATCCCAGACAGATCAATGCTGGGAGTTGGCACTCCGCCAAGTGAAATTCCAGGAGACGACAGCTGCGGCATTATGGGCGACGAGGGAATACCGGGTATGGGCCCAGTTTTGCAACCGTTACGGCGAGGAAAACTCCCAGCAATCCGGAACGAATTTTGTAGATTGTAGTAGGTAACGGTGGATCATAAAGAGTCCGTTCACAGTGGTAGTGAAGAACAGCCTGTCCATTCAACTGAACTCATGGCCAGCTTCAGACAATAGCCCAACACGAACCGAAGAAATACAATGCCGCCGCTGCCCGCCATTCGTCCGCGCCGGGCCGTGCCTCGACAGCACGTACCGTAGCTTACGGCCGCTGTCGGTCCGGCGTGGCCGCGTGACCGTGATCGGGGGTGGGGAGGGGGAGGGGAGGGGGCGGCCCAGCCAGCCGGCCGGCCAGCCGGCGCGGCGGGGTTTCACAACTGAGACAGAGGCAGGAACGACGCGCTGCGGCGGGACACGGCGACGGGAACAGGTGCGGCGGTTTTTTGGAGGGGAGGAGGGAGGGAGGTGTGAGGGGGAGGAGTGTGTACTGGGAGTGGTGTGGGAGGGATGCAGACTGCAGAGTGGTAATGCTCTGATGTAATGCGAGTTGCAGTGAGCGCCTCCGAAGGTCAGCGCGGCGAGCATCACGTGGAGCCGCTCAGCGCAAAACACGTGCACCAGTAACGAACAACCGCGCGCCACTCACAGACATCAAGGCCAGTTTGTTTACCCGCGTCATAACAAAGCGTGAGCTCGTCAATCTTGTCCGCCAGCCTATTCCCACCCCAGGTCCCACACTCCGTCCCACGAGTGTAAATCCCCTCCCACACGGGTGCAGAAATAGCCAGACTAGGTGTAAAAATAACCCGCGTCGCAGTCGCGCCGGCGCGGCCAGGTCAAGGTGCAACACGGGTGGCCGTGGCAGCTGACCGCCAGCATTCTCACCTTGAACATGGTGCTGCCCTGGGTGTGCGGGCCTGTCCTCGAGCTGGGAGTGTCGGTCACCGCCGGGTCTCGGTCGCCGGTCGACTCCCCTCGCCCGGATCGATCTGCGTCCGGCGCCGGCCGCCGCTCGTTCCGCGTCTGGAGGCACACGGCCCGGTCAGAGCCGCCGCTACAGTCGCCCGCCCGCACGGAACTGGCGCCACCTAGCCGCCCGGGCCGGCGGAGCTCCAAACTGCCGCAGCGCGGCGCCCGGCAGCAAGCAGCTAGGGGGGGGGGGAGGGGCGCCCCTGAAAGGACTCTGCCGGGGGCGGGGCTCAGGGGAAGTGGCGGCAGTGATGCGGTCACGGCGGAGGGTGTCAAAAAGTGGAGAAGTAGGTGATATTAATAGGAACTGTCTGTCTGAGCAGACCACCGTTCCAATCCTCTGCTCCGAGCTGGGCGGACAACTTTATCCCATGCGGGATAGCCCGTAAGAGCACGCCCGTAGCCGGGTGCCGTGAGTGCTTGGAGGCTGGTCGGCCTGTCCTCTGGACCAGCTCAGCCCCGGCGACTCACCAGGGTGCTTGCCCAGACCAATGTCTCCCCCTAATGCCTTTCATCCTTGCGGCCCTGAAATGGTCTCGTCAGACCGAAAGGGCCTAACCCAACAAAACAAAACAAACAATTCAGCACACGACCGGAAAACTGGATGAGTCTGACATAGAAGTTAAAATACCTCATTAAACAAGTCAGGACATCTCAACCTCAAAGTGCGGCAAAATAAGATGTAGATGGATGACCGTCGGTCAGTTCGATTTATTGCCTAGGCCTGTCCGTGAGGTCATGCAAAAGACAATTTTAGCCAAACCAACGTCCAACAATCTGGAAACGGATCAGAGCTTTTGATGGTCAATGACGGAGGTGAGTAACACAGGATACGGATGTGGCTTTGACCGATGCAGTGACACGCCAATAGCCGTAAAAACGTCTTGTGGCCTAACATGCAATCCTAACGTGACGCCCACGGCTCAGTAGGCAGCCCAGCCCCTAAAACGTTTATCGCTAAAAGGGTCAGGATTTCGCTATGACAATGCTTCATTGCCCATAACGTGTTGAGATGCAATACCGAACACAGAACACACAACCATAGTGCTAGCAAAAACTTTCAGTTAGCGATGAAAATTTTTCAACTTTCAATTTTAAACACCACCTTTTAGATCACTCGTAAGCTCATATTTCAGGTTCATGTAGGTGTTTCTGAATTCTGGCCGTCCTGTTCCTTCGCTCTGAAGGAAGAAGATATTAATTTTTAATGTAAATTATCTCTGGATGTGTTTGATTGACCACAATAATACCGATGCCAAGCCACAATTCATCCAAGCCGAATAAAATTCGAAAATTCCCTGCATGGCTCCTTCGCCGTTGGCTTAAATAAATGACGAAACGAGTGGCTCAAATTCCGCGAGCACAATCAATAACTATGTCTGCCGTGATAAATGTAAGCTTCAAGGCATGCTGCACGCTTCAGTTGACTCTGATGAAAGACTAATGAATAGATGCCAAAGTACATCCATTTGTAGAAGATACCACCGCAACTGGTAAATTGGTGCAATCACTTACAATTACCGTCCAAAGCGTTTCCACGCGACTGCTGATGATCAAGATGTTATGAGAGGCACCGGAAACAGAACCGTCTCCAGGCGAGAATCACGTGGAAGTTGAACGACCCTATAAGAAGAGTCCCCTGTATTGCTTAGTGCTTGTATCTCCACAGTTCCCAGTAACGTGGGAGGGAACATTCCGACTCTATCACACGGTGTTTTTGTTTGTGACAGACACACTTGGCGGTCGATATCAATTAGTAGTAGGTATGCCTTATTACAAGGCCCTATATACCTTATTAGTTGGTCGTTATCACCGTCCTAAAATTGACTCATTTTCTGTCGACAATCCATCACTGAGTAAATCCCCAGACACACAGCCGGTCGCACCGGGCTATTTACACGCACCAGAGCAGCCGTGGGACTGTCGGCACCATCACCAGTCTGAGAGGTAGTAGTTAGCACACGCTCTGCGGCACCAGTGGTGCATGGAGCCGTCACCATCACCATCTGAGGGTGAAATCACCGCTCCGGGATTACAGGCCGGCCGGAGAGACGGCCGGTCAGCCGTGAGCCATCGGTCGGCGGCGCCTCTGACCGGGCACCGTGTCCGACAAATGGAGCTGTTGGCCCGGCAAACGGCGCCGATACACGGAAAACTACACGGAAGGGTAGATATATGACTTCTGTCTGTGAGGGATGTGCAGCATTTGGGAGGGCGACTTGTTTTTGACAATAACTAAGTGCTTATTGGGAAGGACTAGTCCGTACCAGCATTCTGGATGATGAAACCTTGCAAGGTGTGCAAACACCTCGCCCCTCCATAGGAATCCATTGTCATGACCTAGCACATGCATGACACTCCAACACACATGACCGACTGTCCTGACGTTCTGGGACGTGCAATGTGTGCAAACTGCAAACACATCGCTCTTGCGCAGGAATTCTCTACGGTACTATACTGACACATTGCATGATACTTATAAGCCGGGGCAAGGTCTGACTCCCAGGTATCGGATCCGTCCCAGAGACTGTTCCTCACCTGCTGGGAGCGTCCGATGGCTCTCGTCTCGCCCCGCTCACAGGGCAGCTCCGCTGAGTGCTGACCTGACCCAGTCCTCTGACTCGGTACCTACCTGCTGGGAGCGTCCGATGGCTCTCGTCTCGCCCCTCTCACAGGGCAGCTCCGGAGTCCGCTGAGAGAACGCGTCATCCACGTAGCCGAAGAAGCCTCCGCTGAGCACGCGCGGCACCTGCTTGTTCTCCCCCATACCGGGGATGAAGCCGCCGCCGCCGTCCGTGACGTCATGGCGCCCGTTCAACGCCGTGCGACGTGGTGACGTCATACCTGGAGGGATGACGTCAAGGATGCAGTCAGAGGAGTGGCGGAGCGTTGTTGATGGTGCATTTTAATGAGCAGATTTGTTAGTGATAATGGGTACTGCGTCTGGACAGCGTGACGAAGGAGAACTATGATAGCGCTTCAACAAAGCACGCAGGAGGGACAATGACATTCCGTTTCACTGAGATAATTTCACAACTGCCATGAATAGGGTATCATTCATGGATTTCTGTATTTCTGTATTTGCGCAAATCACCAACAGGCTTGGCCCAATGACAGGTGAAGTCATATAAGTATATCACACCAAACACACTGTAAAAATAATGATCTGTTCTAAGTACAGAAGACTATAGAAGTAAAAGTAAAAGTGCCTATAGTGTAAAAAAAAGACTATAAAGGCAGGATGCGATACTCATTCAATAAACACCAGACAACTAAACAGCCATGCAGCAATTGTCAGCTCAACCACTTCTAATGGGTGTTAAACGCGAAATAGCTCGCAACTAGGGTGACCCGCGTGCTCCGCAACGCGAAAAGGGGTATTTTCGATTGACGGGTGATTGGTTGTTCTTGTGTCGGTTTGGTTATCTATCCATTTCGGTCGATTGCTTTTTGATGGCTAAACGTTTTGGTTTGTGGAAAAAATATCCACCGCATCGAGGTGCCCGTGTCTGATAAGCATGCTTTCCACTTCAGAATCTGTCAAATGTGCTTTATAATTTAGGCGCGTAGTTTTATGACAAATTAAAGGCGTAGATAATTTTCACTAAAAATCGTTTTGCAGAGGTTTGAAACATTTATATTTTTAAGAATACTGTTGCTTGTCATGCAAACGTGATGATTGGATCTTGGAGAGAATTGAATGCTCTTTCCAATGATAGCATTTTCAATTGTCAAACGTATCAGGTTAAGCAGCAAAATCCGTGTAATTATTTAGTGGCACATTTTGGACAAATACCATTTAATTCAGCGATTTTTTCCACATTGTTTTTGATCAATTAGCTTTTCACAATTTTTCCATGAGAGACGGTACATTTTTATTGCTAATAGGCGCTGTTTCAACTCATTCCGTCTGACGATCACCTGAAATTAATATAAATTCCAAAATCCGTCCAAAACGTCCATTTATCAAAAGAAAGTGTCCTCCCCGGTGCACGTGGCACGTGCCAACCCCTGCACCGCACACCATTCGATAGCCCGTTCGATTCTCTACACGATGCTGTTTTCCCCGTACCGGTCGGGCCCACGGTTACCGAGATATTGCACCGGGACCGGACCTGTGTCGGGCAAATTTAGCCATTTTCGCCCGTTTTTGCCAGCCGATTAATACATGTAAAGTCTATGACGCGAATTTGCACTTTTTGGGCACGCGCCACGCGCTCGCTATCGATCCGATCGAGCTGAGACCCATCAAAGGCACGTTGTCCATCCTTGTTCTATGAGTTGCGCAAACTTCAGCGCGGTAGGTGCAACGGTGTGACCTGTAACCCGCGCTACGTAGCACCATGTCGCGACCTATGTAACAGACAGAAACTACGTCTAATGGGTGTTAAACGCGAAATAGCTCGCAATACTGCATTCAGATATCAGACGATCCACATTGAAAAGAATCATCGGCAAAAACATTTACGGCGAACCTACCAGATCGATTGAGCTTCCAACCAAACAAACCATTGACCCAAGTCCGAATCCAGATGATTACGTCCCCATCGAGCTCTACTCCATGTCCCTTCCCAATTCCCATACAGTCCAGTGTCCCCGCTGCTTCAGCCGCCTATCGCTCTATCTTCCCCGCTCCCGGACCCAATCAGTGATGCCATCCACATTTTTGCTCCATCCCAAGATCTCGACCAGAATTTCCCAAGATTCTCGTCTCGAATCCCAAGACTACCCATCGCATATCCTTAGGAGTACCCCAAGTAAATCCATAGCTTATTTTGGACATATTAGTGTGTTAAGTATTCAACTTTCTCTTCTTCGGGTCCACCCTTGTCCTTATTGGCGTCTTTACAGCAGCTAATGTACCTAGAGGCCGGGGGGAGGGGAGGGGGAGGGGGTCGATCGAACTCCTACAGCTGATCGGTTCCTGACCGAGTATAAGAGCTTCACGAAAAATGAAGATGCTGGCCTAGACAACATGAAGCCGGTGGTATCTGCTATTATGGTCAGGTCATTCGTCGACCGTCAATGGTGGGTCAAGGACCCAAAACACAAAGTTCGAATCTGTTAGAACTTCTTGGAAACGAAGTCTGTGGCATTTTGGATTTATTTCGAAATTTGTCTCGTGACACATTTGGAGAAGCTAGGGTCAGGTGAGGTCAGGCTGATTTTTAGTGTTTTCCACCACTGAGTTTTGAAATATGGGCTCCAAAACAAGCTCTTAAAAGCTTATGTGAATCCCGAAATCGAAAAGCCTATGCTGTGAATCTGCGCGTAAGCCAGTGCCCGCTGGGGCCCATGAATTTTCAAGCCGACGATGGCGAGCGGGTCTAAACGAGGACCTAACTCGTCCCCTGGACTATATAATTACAAGACGTCAGCAGTGTTGTGAAGGTCGCAAGGTTACGTTTTGATTATTTTTGGTCCAGCAGAGCCCAGAGGTCAGGTGACCAGACACTTTTCCGAGGTCAAAGACAAATTGCTCTTATTTTGGTTCGCGGTCAACGGATAAGCCTCCATAGATCAAAACCGTAAAATGAAACGCTTTGTGCGGGAGCCGCTTTCTGAAATATTTTTTAGGCATAATGTTTGTAAAAGCTTTTCATAGCCATCCAACATCATGCCGCCAAACCACCCATCCCCGTTGATCGGTAGTTGGAAATTAAACAAATGAGGGCCAGTTGCGAACAGCGACTGAAAGCTGCTACTATACCCATAACAAGTAATGGTACAAAAATAATCCTGCGACCTCGGGAAGATAATGCCTGCAAGAAACATCGCAAGCTTCGTCCGTTACTTCAATATGTTTGAATGCTATTAACCGTCCGTGAGGCAAATCCATCCTAAATTTATTATCGACCAACTGGAAAAAAGCATTCGACAGCATGATAAGACAAAGTGAAATCAGCTTCTGCCAGATCCCAAGATATGCAGCGCAAATCACAAGATCCCAATGTTAATGTTCAAATCCCAAGATCTTGGGACAAATCCCAAGGAATGGCATCGCTGGACCCAATCTTCCCACTATATCCAGCTCATTTCTACCTATCGTCTCATCTCCCCGCTATTGGTCGTCCGATACAGAGCCCAATTCCGCCGCTGAGTCCATCCACCGTGTCACAGTGCGGTCTGTGCTCTGCGCTTGATCCCAGCCGGAGGGCAGATTCGGCTTCCGGTACCAAGACAGCGTTAGTTTGATTGGCTCCTCCGGAACTGTATGGAATAGAACTCGCACGAATCTATTCACCGCTTCCCACGGGTTATAAAATGAATGTGCTCATACACTGGAAGTGTGTCATGTTGATAATTTATAATAAATAAAAAATGTACGAAGATTCCAAATCATTAAAGGTAGTGTGCCACCTTTGAAAGTTTTCCCATTTTATTTTTCCTAGGATAAGAAGCTTCTGTTTTTATCTAATATCGCAAAAAAAATCAAAAATGGGCCTGGAATAGTGCCTTTTTCGCCTAAAAGTTTATCGGTTTTTAGATATGTATAACAACTGTAGTGGGCTCACCTGCAAACAGGCGTCGGGCAACAATCGCGAAGGCGGCGCACTTGTGACAATAAGCAAAGGTCATTATAGTGTTACAACATACGACGTACGGGAATGAGTTATCAGCTGTCTAATCGTAGACAACACAATGTCGAGCCTTAAACTGTAAGCCCGTATTGGTATTGTTTCTTTTATTTGGCTGTCGAACATTATTTATGGTTTGAAATATGATTTTATGTAAAATAATTGATATGAAAAAGCCGTCTTATAAGTTATGACCCCATTTCACCACACGCAAGTGGCAGAAATGACAATGATCAGCTGACGCATTTTTCTTGGCCGAAGTCAGAGCGCGCAGCCCGACGCACCACCACCGCACCACAAAGCCCCGGGCTATCACATGACACCGGGAGGACGCGCGGCTCCGGCTTGGGTCAGCGCACGCTGCCCTGACTCGGCTACCTCACGTTACCGGGGCCCTGGCTTTGGGCGTGGTCTACCGCACCACCTAACAGGCGTGTTCGAAACCGCAGGAGCTGATGATGAACGGGTTTATCGAAACTTGATTGGATGAGCATATCGGTAATAGCGATTTCAGTGTGTGCATTTCTTGTTCATAGTGGTGTGAAATGTGGTTGGGGTACGACCGACAACCCGTCGGGGCGAATTTCGCACTGGGGTACTCAAAATTTGAAGAATTTAAGACGTTTCCATGAGTTTTGAAGGTATGGATAAGTTCTAAAAATCCGGTTCTCCTTATCTGGGCCATTAACTCCATACGGTCCAGGAAAGCTGGCACACTACCTTTAAACTGTTTGAAGTGCTCAAGCCTGGCCCGAGTTATCATAAAAGGCGTGGTTTTAAGGCTGTTTTTATGGGTGTGGCGGCTTGTCAAAACCAGCGTGAGAACACAACACATTTAAGGAAGGCTCGATCAGACCTTTGAAGCCTCCATTGCATCCCAGAGATGTTCTGGCAAAATATGATGGGCATGAAAAGTAGTTTATAAAACTGAACAGCTACGCAGTGTCATGAGATGTTATTACAGATCACTTCGAAACTGATAAGCCACCGTTTAATAAAAATATTATTTGCTAATTTTCTCAACTTTCGCCACTGCTAAGCGCTATGATAAGTCACCTTGATGCGTGCGGATACGAAAATATCTGCAGGCGTAACACGTAATACCGTCCGAATTACGTAAGCTCACGATGCAAAAAACGTCCGACAATTTTCTTTTTAATGCATAACCTGAAATATAAAAACCAGCTCTGTCTGGACATTCACCCACACAGTCCGCCCGATTCCCGATGCCGTTCTCACCTTGTTACGTGGTGTCCTCGGTGTCGTCCGTCCAGCTCTCCTCGGTCCGTCTCCGTCCCGTCCAGCTCCGAGACCGTGCAGGAAGTGCCGTCCGTCCGTCCACCGGGTCTCCGCACTCCCCACCGCCGTGGGAGAGCCGCGCGTCACGTGACGTCACGCTGTGTGTGACGCCGTGACGCGCCGTGACACGGCCGCCGGGGATCGGTCCCACGGCACGCGCTCAGCGCTGACCGATGGTGACGGGGACTGGCGCGGTTTGGCGACACTGCGGAGATGATTTTGTCACCGCTGACTGACTCGACAGCGCGAATTCTGGGGACACTGGCCGTGCTGAATTGGTTCCAGTGAAGACACGGAGCTGCCGCCGCCGATGCGTTGCTGAGGGTTGATGACCGCCGTGTAGAGACATGACCAGTGTCAATGGCGGTTGAAACTGCTGGATCACAAAGGTTTGTCGGTGATGCTTAGAATCGAGAGGACAGGTTCTCACGGCTGTTACCGATAGCCGTGACCGGAGACGCGAGGAACGACCATCACTCACAGACGAGACGAGACGAGACAGAGGAACGGAGCTCTATCGCACAGACGGGGATGACAGATGTCGTTGGCCGAACAGACCTGAAAGCAAGTAGCCACGCGCACCGGCAACACAGTTAAATGCTGTATAAAATGTCAGAGAGAATGCTAACCAGTGGAGAGAAATGGCATCTAAAGGCATAAGAAGATTCACATACCTACTCGTATGCTAAGTGTCAACATTGTTTACATGCTCATTTTAAGCTTATGACAAGTCACATGTGACTACCATCAACGCCCACCACGGGGCACAATAGCAAGTCATCTTTAGAAGTACGATGCACAATTGGCAGTTGCATATACATACTCACCACTGTCGGCGCCGTTTCTCACGGCCGTCGGCGCCGCCGCCTCCGTCGTCCATCTCACCGCTGACTGGATATTGTTACGCCAGGCGTCGGTCTCACCGACTCATCCCTGCCCCGCCGGCCGGTCGCACAATATGCACGATGTCGCTATTTATGGCCATGACAGCGCCGATAATCTGTCAGCATGAGCTCCGCCGACCGCCGGTCAGTTCCCGTGTCGGATCGTGCCGTGAGATTCAGTGCTTTGCACGACACGGTCATAAGCGACGAGTGCAGGCTTGGGCCTGATTGCGGCAGACCATGTCTGAAGCTGCGACAAACCACAGAAAATGACGACTGACTGCTGAAGAAGCTCAACACGGGACAAACTGATTGGTGAAGAAGATGAACAAAAAACTTCTACTTGATGATGGTAGTTGCTAAGCGTCCCACACACAGACCTTGCGTCGGCTCGGTGTATTGACATTTCAGAGTCGACAATTTGCAACACTGACACATATTGGGAGAGCGAGGGAATGCGACTGGGGAGCCGACCGAGGAATCGAGCCGGTGGCGCCGAATCCACTACCCTTCCTGGCTAGCTCGGGCGGACGGGTAACATGCAACTTGCAGGCGGCACGGTGCTCACTGAGACGGTTAACATCGACAAAACACACGTACACGGGAGCAAGGACGGAAATAAAATGCTTGGATTAAAATTGAGATCAAAAGCAGCATAGGATACCGCGAAGTGAACGAAAAATTAGTGAGATCGACTGTTTATCACTTCATCAACTGAAAGCAGCAAATGTACACCGAATATCACAACAAAGTATGATGCTTACAATCGAAGCAGACACCAGTTTCCGTTCATCACGACGTTTGACTAGGCATGGAATGGAAACACAGCAAGATGGATATACTGTTCAGCCGACATGGACGGAATTCCTTACGTGAGCACGCCTGACGAAAAGGCAGTCATTTCTGGACGGATTACTTTCTGCAGACCACCGGGCGATCACCTTTCTGCTTCGTGAGATCACGACATTACCAAACCAGCACAGGAACCAGCTGTAACACCACCCGCTTTTCCACCCCACCTCTATAACGTAGAGCAGCCACCCACCGCAGACACGCATTTAAATACCACACGGAGTGCAGACCGGCACACACAGACTACAACTCCAACATGGAGACATCGGGGGAGACGGCGAAGGCACGTGTCGATAAGGGCGGCGGGCCTGTGATAGACCGGATGACTGGTGACATCAGCTACATGACCCGGTTAGTACAGCTGGTTTCGAGCGAAATATATCATAAATACACAAGAGTTGGAAGCTAGAACAATGTGGAACAAATCACGAACAACGCGAAACAGTGAAATAAAACACACAGCTCGGGCATGCAATCTTGTTATGTAGCTGATATTACAAAAGCAGCCGCATCGAAACTCATGATAAAAACTCATGATGGGTACACAGCGTCTCGCGAGCTGAAACTATGGCCGTCCTGCAATCAGCTTCGTTCATTTTTCTCCGGAGGAGTACATGATGTGACTAGCGTATGTGCAGTGGCACCCCAAACGAACACAACCACCACAGACAGGTCCATATTCCAGTGATGTTCCAAAACAGTGCAAGCTGTGAAACATGGAAACACCAACCGAAGTGCACAGGGCAGCGCAGTGCGTACATTCACTGGAGAACGGCTGACATCTTACGATAACCACTTCCAACCAGCATCGCACGACGAGGCACGGTCACACGGAGCGGAGCGGGTGCTTCACGGAGGCTGGAGGAGCTGGACGGAGGCCTCAAATCGCCGTAGAGACCCTGGACACTAGACAGGCTGGTGATGGGTAGCCTTCGAGGACATGATAGCCGAGACTCAGCGATGGTTGGAATCCATGAAGAGAAACCGCAGCAGGTTGGTCGCGGAGGCGAAGGAAATTAAGCCGCCGAGCGGTCGGCAGGGATGGGAAATAGCGGCATCAGAGCGGACTGTAGACGATGGAAGGAGCAAAGTCAGTGCCAACGGATACAACCAGCGGAGACGGCAGTGACGGAGAGAGACGGCTGAGAGGCGGAGACCGCAGTGACGGAGACGACTGGGGGCGGAGACGGCTGAGAGGCGGAGACGGCTGAGGGGCGAAGGCGGACGGTGGACGGAGACGATTCGTGACGGAGCCGAGGCGGCAACCGTCCCGCTACTTCTGCTTTATGCTCTTGCACACCCACTCCATGCCCTCCTGAAAAACAGCCGGGCAGAGCGATGAGCCCGCGGACGGACGGGCGGTCGGTCACATGAGTAATTACCCTAAAACGGTGGACAGACAGCGGCACGACACTCGGGAACACACACCGTGGGTAAGCGGAAGTGGCGAAATTGGAGACGGGACCAATTAAAATCGGATCGTCTCCGACACCCCCGGGTGGGCCCGTAAACGTCATGGGACAGGAAGCGTGGATGAGGCGTTATTGATGGTCTACGCGGAAAACTGGCCACAGCGAATTACATACCAATAGCGTTTTGCTAAGTCCATCATAGTGAAATGCTAAGATAAAGTTTAAGTTGAGATTAGCTATGAGAAGTCAAGAAAACACAAACAGACTAGCAGCGTCAACCGTCGAGGCGTTGCTGATTGACAGCCAAAGTACAGACTGTGGAGCAGTGTGATCGTTCGCAAAGCGATGAACTGTAAAAATGGTCCTATTGACACGCTAGCAATGAAATCGCTCATACATATACAATTATATCACCAATTACCATGACACCTAGATCACCAGTTATATCACCAATTACCACAGCAATGTTCTTGACATTTTAATTAAAACAGCACCACAAATCAGAGTTATGGTGCCGAAGTAGACCGATTGCTCTCCCCAACCCACTCCACCATCATCCTCATCTCACCTTGACGCCCTCATTGGTGGCGGCCGAGCAGCCCTGGATCTGCCACTCGCGGTCCCTGATCACGTGCAGACCGAGCGACTCGGCGATCTCCGAGGCCGGCGCCGAGTTGAACAGGTCCTGCTTGTTGGCGAATATCAGCACCGGCACGCCGACCAGCTTGTCCTCGGCGAGCAGCTCCGCCAGCTCCTGGCCCGTCTCGTCGAACCGCTTACGGTCGGCGCTGTCGATCACGTATATCTGCGGGGACGGGCGGGGTAGTGTTAAGTCGGCAGAGAGATACAAATCACCGAGAGGAAAGACGGCGGGCGTTAACACCGCGAAATATAAGGGACATACAGGCGGTGAGCTTCAAAACGATGAAAACCATACACGCCTACGGTGGTGATTGATTATGAACTGAAAAAAAATATTGGGATAACTAAGAGCAAAGCAGACGATGGAAGGTGGTATATGAGATGAACACTGAAAATATGATTACAAGCCACAAGCCACTACTCTTAATAGGGTCGTCGACAGGTAAAATCAGCGGTCTAGCCAAGAATGCATTCAGTGGTGCTGCCAAAACGTTTCCCGCGATTGTCCACAAAACAGCAGTCAGCAAATGCTCATAATTCATCGAAAAGACCGACAAGAAGTTGGAAACCGTCGGCGTTCCGTGGGCCACCACCCTTATTATCCACACCGAGTCCAATTATCATAATCTGCACGCAGCCACCGGCCGCAGTCCGGCCCGAGCGAGCCGTTTAGCCGCCGTTCCGGAGAGAATGCGCGGCCAACTCAGCGCCTGATCATACCACAAACGGTACCGACCGTGGGTGAAACACTACTCGCGCCCGACCAACGGCCATAATAGAGGAATAATAAGCCCAAACGGCTAATGCCACACGCCCCGAGCTCACTCTGACGCCGGGGGCGGGACGCGCATGCTCCGGTGGTCGAGAGAATCCTCACGGCCGGTCAGACGGGATCTAGACCGGGACGTTCTCGCCCATAGCGTGTCTGTTGTTATGGGCTATTACTGGTTTGGCTAGAAAATGATATGGATTTGCAAGTCAACGGCGCTTTTGGTGTGAATGACTTTTATGAGATTCTAATGACCTTTTCCACGTTGCACCGAAATTGTGTGGCAGCCCAGTCTGGCCTCTTTCCCGAGAAATTAGAGCAGGCATTTCGATGGAATGAACAACTAAAACTGAAGGGAATCGACGGCCCAGAAGCTCAAGCAATGTCACTTGAAATTTGACAAAAGAAAAAAAATGACTGCAACACTTAAAACGGTGTTGTTAACATAAGATAAAAACTGTAGCCTGTATATAGCTGCTTTGCTTTTTAGGATCGACGATAGTAAACATGTCAACATTGCTACAATTTTGTCGTAAAATTCGATGCAATCGCGACTGAAGGCCAACATCCTCCCTGGAGGCCTAGGCGTGAAAAAAAAACATGTCAGGTACGGTCAGTGTTTGCTGGATGTCACAAGGCCAGCATAATTATCAACATGCATAAAGCTAATTGTCAACAGCAAAACATCACTGCAACGCGCAAACTATAACACTCATAGCTAGCAAACCAGCCACAACGCCCTAAACTATGAGAGCACTACAGTAATACTCACCAGGACATCAGTGTTATCGAAATAGTTTCGCCAGTAGGGTCGGATCTTGCGCTGGCCGCCGATGTCCCATACGTTCAGCTTGAAGCCGTCCGACAGCACCGACTTGATGTTGAAGCCCTGCGTCGGAGTGATCTGGGTGATGTCCTCCGAGGCCAGCGCCTTCAGCAGCGTGGTCTTTCCAGCGTTATCGAGCCCGAGCAGCAGCAGACGGACCTCGCGCTCCTGGGCGGGCCGCAGCTTCCTCAGCAGTGAGAGCAGACCCTGCCGACGGCCGCAGTGAGTCAGCGGTTGAATCAGCGGAGCTGGCCGGGATAGGCCAAGGGAACTGCAGCCGGTTCGCGTTGGCACACTTAGGCCCTAGTGACACTTGATTTCAAGTGTCACTAGTCGATTTTGGTTCGCGCTGAGACACTAGCCGATTGGTGTAAAATACCGCTTAGTGTCAGCTATCTTCAAACTTGTCACTTGGCCGCCTAGTCTTACTAGCTTCCTAGTGCGCCATCTCGAACCTGCCCCTGGCCGGCCCTGCAGAAGTCTGCACGATAAACGAACAGCTGCTGAGCAGGAGGTATACATTCATACAATGAAAAACTAAGCATTGAACAGGTAGTTAGTTCAAGTCACAGTAGCATGTCTGTCTATGGTAATGCAATTAACGCTACGATACAGCTGCTCGCATAACGCGACATTTGCAGGCATACAGCGACATTAGTACATCCGTCTATGTTACCAGTTGATGGATACGAAACAATTCATATGGATGAGCGCATGTGTATCAAAAGCGATTAAAACATCCCTCTTCAGCTTTCGTGGCTTATCAACGACGTCAAACAATGACCATTTAAAGCGATCGATTCGGGAGCCCGGCAATATAGCAAAAGTCGCAGAGTGCGGTATCGCAACGGGCCCTGCAGCGGGGAACAGAGCCCCGATCATCGAATGCATTTAATTGATCCGTATTACGGGTGGGTGCTTTGACATGTGACATCGACGCCGTGCGGAATATTTAATGGCAACTGGACTCATTCCCCCGCAAAATTTACATGGAAGGCATAATCAATAGGCTGCCCTATCGATTTCAGGCAGCGACCGTTCGCTGCCCGTGACCAGGAACGTACGTGGAGTGAAATGAGTTTCAGACAGTAGTACTCTGTGATGCCGCACACAGGCGTACCACAAAGGGAGAATGTACATTGTACATACACGTACTCCATCCACACTCTCTCATGCATTCCTTCAGGGTGACGATTCAGGAAGGGCGACGCTTGTCATAATGGATGCAGTGCCTTAGTTCCGTTGATATCGATCAATGCTCATGACACGGAACGGCGCCGAATGAATAACTTGTCCGCGCACACGAGTGGCAGGATCGTTGTATTAACTGTAATGGAAGCAGGTCCGAGCTTTGAACCGATGATCGGTGGAAATGGTCAATGGTCCTGAGGTGTATAGAAGATAGAAGTTTGCAGGAATTCCGAGCCTGAAGTAATTTGATAGCTGAGCGTCGAGCGATACAATTAACGATACAAGTATTGTGAATGTACGTTTATCTTCTGTATTTCAGCAATTATAGTTAGTCCTCATCAAGTCATATCGCTATGTCCAAATCATAAACTGATATCACTGGGTTGCGGAGTCAAGACGGCTTCCCAGGACCCAGTGACTCAAACAAAGCCTTTGGAAATCGACTCCGGCTCACGAATTGTCCATCCTTAGACCATATCTTGGACCATATCACGATAAACTAACTCATGCCCCAGATGTGTGTGCCTTTTTTGCCTTCCCAGAACAATTCTGATCCACAATCCTCTTACATAGGCTTTTTGACCATGATTTCAAGCTGTGCTGAATGCTGAAACAATGTCGAATTCTACTCCCAAGTTGAACCCCGGAACCCATACTTTTTAAACTCGGACTCAGACTCCGGGCCAGAATTGTTGACTCCACCGACCAACTCCGACTCTGACTCGACGCAGCTCATGGGGCAAGGGAAAGATGAGCGAGGTGAATGGCAATCATTCGGGACAAAAAGCATCTTTCCCTCAGGTTTCATCATTTAAAGGAAAAGGGCCACCTTTAACATGGGGATTGAAACTGAGATAGCCATCTTGTAGCCCGTGTCCGAAAACCTATCTGTCTCCCACCTTACGGCCGATTTCGGCCTCCATTCGTAGTTATCGGCAATTTTAAAAGAAAATACGCCAGGAATGCGTCCTTATCCCAGGAATGCGTTCTTATCCGACAATACAGCCACCCGCGGCGAGGCTTTGGTTTTTTACCAATCAGCTCCAACCAGCTCAGCTTTAACCAATCAGCTTATCTGACACAATCCGACGAGTCTGTCTTCTGAACGCTGATTGGCTTGAGTGTGACGTCATCGCTATGCCATCATACAGTAGGTGCCGTAGAGAGTATCAACATAGTACCAATATGTTAAATAGTTTTAAATACTTTTTAGCGAATTGTGCACTTCTGGCACCAGTTTTAAAAAGAAAATGAAAAATAATAATGTCAAAATGAAAAACAACGATATCTTCATATTTCACGAAGGTGGCCCTTTTCCTTTAATCCCCGTGTTTACCCTACAAATTTTAATATTTTGATTTATTCGGATGGATAAGGTTACATACCTACCAACACTTCAACTTTATCCAATTCTGAATCGCAAATTGAAATGAAGCAAGAAGCAAATGACAATTGAATTGAATTGAATGATAGACAATGGAAGCTTGTAGGAGCGATATACTTTAAATCCCACGACACCGTAATAGCCAAAAAAAGTAAGACGATGAAGCAGCAAAGAACAAATTAGACGGAAATTGAAATAAATTTCACTTTCACTTACCATTGTGATTGCGACCCTACGAATGGATCAAAATCGTCAACTGTTGTAGCAGCACTGGGCGAAATCAATAAAGCTAATACAGATACCAGAGAAAAATGTCTTGACTTATCGAATAACTATATTAGAGTCGTTTTTCACCCTATACAACACTGCAAAGGCGGGAAATCACCCAACCGCCACCACCCGGTCGTCTGCTGCTAACAATGATACAAAATAGACGCGGATGCGGCGTGTATGGATTGATAGTAGTGAAGAATGCGTATTACTTATTGTTTATTTAATTCATTTGGGATCAGATTGATGCAAAAATAATTTTTTGAGTTATTTTGATGATTTAATTGGTTTGTGGGAAAATACATAAATAAAAATGCAATAAAAATTGATAGTAGTGAGAATTCGCCATTTCTGACGCAATAAATACATAACAAAAGTTTCACATTCGGGGCGGGGCCGCCATTCATTTCAGTCATTTCTGAGTCAAACAGGTTGGATTTCCTATCAGGGGTCTTGGAATTTCCGTTGTTTTTCGATTTAGGATGAAATATTGAAACAAGTAATTTGAAGAAGCCACGAAGGAGTTCAAGGGTAAGATGCAATGTTATAGAACTCCATAGGAGGTTACAAGCTAGAAAAATGCTCTTCTTGATTTTTGTGAACAAGAATATCAATGTTGGAATATAATGTAAATTAATTTAATAGATTCTTGTCACCAAGGAATTGAAAAACTAGCATGCATGATGCAGGCATGTCATCAGCTCACCTGTTGACTTCACCGGCTCATTATACGCATGTCTATCAGAGTAGGTAAGGTGAAGTGAGAGGGAATCCATGTTTCAGTGTGGTGGTTGGTGGATGTTGATAAATCAACCCTGAACACCCCAATGAAACCATTAGCTGGTGTATTGTTGCAGGGAAATTGGTTGTAATGCTGACCTCCCACTTCTTATCATATGTGCAAATTGATAGTTACAAAACATGCTGGATGCATTCTGTATATTGATATGTGCATGCCACTTGGATGACACCTAGTTCTCATTTCTTTCTTTTTATTCACTGAAATTGCACATTACATGTTTTCATCTGTGAATTCAGGGTTTGAAACTATCGATATGCCTACTTCTGAAGTTAAACACTCAGCTGACAGCAATGTGTAATGCTGTGTTGTGTGTTACTTATGTTTAAGAACAAAATAACAAAAAAGTGAAACAGTATTAATAGAAATAACATGTATTGTTCTATCACAAAATGCCAAGCTGGTGAAGACCCGACAGTCAAATGTCATGCTACACCATTTTAGCCAGACACATCAATTGTGAATCCACTGTGGTCATGGAAACATACCTAATCAGTGGTAAATCACACTGATGTACAAAGCATAATCCTCATCAATGTTATTCATAAGCAGTGAGCACAGTCAAAAACACAAACATTACAAAACTATGTTTAAAAGCAAATAACATGCCTGCTTTTAGCACTATCTACAGGGAAAAACCAACCTCAAGGCTCCTCTACACAATGCTGCACATTCAATAACAAACAAGAAATTTCAGCAACTCGCAACACATTCTTTCATGATCATCACAGTAGTGCGCACATGTATCACTTCGCCAACCCGCACTGCGCCTGCTTGAAGACTTCACTGGCACTGAGAGCTGCTGGTTCTCCTGCTCACTTTGGCACGTACTTCAGTAGTTTACACTCGTGCGTCATCCAGACAGCCAGCGAGAGGAGGGTGAGCGCGCCCGTCTGGTGGGACGCCGCCACCGGGGTGGGCACGTACAGCAGCAGCGTGGCGATACCCAGCGTCAGCTGCCGGAGCACAGAGGGACCGGAGGTCAGACAGTGAATACTGGTCAGGGGTCACACGGAACGGACGCCGGTCAGGGGTCAGACGGCGGTTAGAAGTCATATACGTGTGGTAAGAGGTTACATAAGCTAAAGGAGGTATAAACTGAATCTGTCGATCAAGCATCGTTACGTCCAAAGTGGTAACAGTTTTTATCGACTTCGAATGACCAGCGGGCCTGCCAAAACACACAAACAAATGAGGCAAAAGGTCGCATGAACGCCTGGATGCTACAGAAAGCTACGTCCTACGCAAGTTTTATATTATAAACATCCAATGTTCATCGTCAGCGATAAGAGTGCACATTATAGCCAGCAACACTACCGCAAAACCTGTCATTATCCACCATAGTATCTAGTCTCACCTGTAAGTACGTCATGGCGAGCATGGCGTTGGCGGCAGTGTAGGCCCTCGGTGGCAGCTTGGCCTTACGAGTCGCGAACCAGAGACCGTGGACCAGCGCAAATACAGTCATACCCTGCAATAAAACGGGGATGTTCACCGTCAGACGGGAAGACAAAACATACGGTACAGTGTTACCAGGCACACAATCATATGCACTTCTAAGAATCTTAGATAGTCGATACGAGACCTAAACTGTACTGTCGATACCCATTTTGCTGTTGTACCAAAAAAACTTGTGTAAAACGCAGCTCTCGTTTCCCAGACCCCCCACTCGCTGAGGACCGCCTGTGACCAGTCAGCCGCCGGTGCCGGTCAGGATGGGCGGGGTGTACCGCCGACAGGCCGGGCTCGCCGATGACGTGCTGTGCGCGCTGGTGCTGCCGGCGGCGGTCTACGTCAGCTCGTCGGGCGCCGAGGCTGCCACTGCCGGCGTGCTGGCCGCCGTGGCGCTGTTCGCCTGCCTCTCCGAGTTCCACTGCGAGTCGGCGCTGAGCCTGGGCGGCGGCGCGGCGGCGGTGCTGACCGCCGGCTGGGCGCTGGCGCTGCCGTTCGGCCAGGTGGCGCGGCTGGCGCTGCTGGCTGCCGCCGAGCTGCTGACGGCCGGCACGCTGCTGGCGCGCGGCGGCGGCAGCGCCACCGGCGGCGAGGCGCTGCTGCTGGGCCAGGCGGCCGCTCTGCTGTGTGCCGCATCGGCCGGCCAGCTGCCGGAGCTGCTGCTGTTCGGGTCGCCGCTGTACGTCAGCGAGCGGGCGGCCGTCATCCACCTGCTGCAGACCGCCTTCTGCCTGCTGCTGGGGCTGCTGCTGCTGCTCTCCTACCTGCCGTCCGCGAGGCAGTCAGCCCGGCTGCACCTGCTCCTGGCGCTGCTGGCCGCCGCCATCATCGTCACCACCTCGGTCATCATCAACACCAACTGCCTGCTGTGGATGGTGGAGTTCGCCACCGGCAGCGCGCCGCGGCTGCGCCTCCTCACCATCTGGGCGTCGCTGCTCGGCGGCGCGGTGCTGTTCGCCGCCGCGCTGGGCGCCTCCGGCTCCGGCGGCGGCCTGTCGCGCGCCGTGCTCAGGAAGCTGTTCCACCTGCTTATCTGCGCGGTGTTCGTGCCGGGCCTCCTGTACGACCCGCTGCTGCTGCTGGCCGCTTCCGGAGGCATCACCTTCCTCTTTATCATCGCCGAGATCGCGCGGGCGTGCCGGCTGCAGCCGTGGGCGGACATCATCCAGCGCTGGTTCCGACCGTTCCTCGACTCCAAAGACGGCGGCTTCCTGGTGCTCTCCAACATCTTCCTGGTGGCGGCGTGCTCGGGCGTGCTGTGGTACCACGCTGGCGAGGTGACGGCGGCCGGGCACCGTCAGGACCTCAGTCTGTTCGCCGGGGTCATCACTGTGGGTATCGGAGACACGGTGGCGGCGGTGGTCGGCTCTCGGTACGGCCGGACCCGGTGGCCGCAGTCTTCAAAAACCATAGAGGGAAGCCTGGCCGCCATCGCCGCCCAGCTGCTGTTCTGCTATGCACTGGACCATAGCGGGTACCTGTACATCGGTCAGGAGATGTGGCGCGCGCTGTGTGTCGCCGTCGGGGTCACCACCCTGGCGGAGGCGTTCACGGCGCAGGCTGATAACCTGCTGCTGCCGCCGCTGTTCGTCATAGCGCTCCGGCTGGCACAGCGGTACTGGTGAGGGGTTGGCATGGCAACGAGTCGTCGGTTGACATGGCGACGATTCGACAGTTGTTATGGCGACGGGTCTATGTGGTCAGTAGTGCCTCAGAGCAAGCCAAACTGGTTCCCTTTACTCAATGCTCGTACCTTACCTTAGTGCTCAATGATCGAACCTTATATGAACAGTTTTGCTACTCTCTGCTCAGGAACCTCCACAGCAAAGTTATATGCCATGCAACAGCATGAAGTGCATTGGGTCTGTGCTTTTGGGCATTATGTATTATGGCTAGTTGACGGGTAGTTCAGTAGTTAGATCGTCGATTTGCTACGGTAGGACATGGGTTTATACTTTTGTACAACAGGTGATGAATACGTCAATGGTGCTTTGATTCGTGCATGACTCGCTCGCTTCTCTCGAACCTAATTCGAATCAATCGAGCATCCAACGGTGACTCGAATAAGACCAAAAGTGTGACTCGAATAAGACCACAAGTGTTATAATAGTCTGTGATTAACGGTGATTCCACATACATGACAAGAACTTTGTTACGAACTTCGTTACGTATGTCGTTTTCTAAATAAATATTTATTGGTGCCGGGCTACCCCTTGTTTCCCTCCCGGCGGTTGGTGAGTTGGTGGGATACCTACCAGCATACGGTGGTTGAACTGGACGGTGGTCGGGTTCTCTGTCACGTTGGAGAGTTTGGGCTCGTAGGCCAGCAGGTCGGTCGGCACCAGGCGGCCGCCCATCAGCGGGAACTCGTTGTACGTCAGACCGGCGTCCAGACCGGCCACGAACGCGCCTGGCGGGCACAGGGGGCGGCGGTCAGTGCCAGTGGGGGAGGTCACAGGGGTCGTCAGCTGTTAAAGACGAGTGACATAAAATACAATTTGTCAATCTTTCACAACCAGGCTTCGGGAAACTGACATAATTTTATCACAACAAAATGACACTTTACCACAAGAAACGCAACATTTCAAACATGAGAGGGTACAAATCCTCAAGTGGCATATCCTCAAATCTTCAACAGGAAGTAAGATAAAAGTCCCCAGTGCTGACTGTCTCACTCTCAATACAAATCATTTCATTATTAGATCATTCCGCTTTTTGAGTCCAAGCTCTCTTATCCCTGACCTTCCTCCCTGAGATCATTCCCAGTCCCCACCGTACCTGAGAAGGCGGCCAGGAAGATGAACCCCTTGCAGACGTGCGCCATGATGCGCACGCGGCGCACGGACGAGGTCACCTTGACCACCTGGGCTGGTATCAGGTGGTCCAGGCCGTTATAGAGGAACAGCGTGGCGAGCACCAGCGCCGCGCCCAGGTGCGCCGCCAGCCTGACGGACACGGGGACAGGGGATGTAAATGAGAGGCTCACGAAGTCGAAGACGTAACGAGTGCAATACTTTCTGGAGCAAAAGAGTGCATTTATTCGATCGAAATTAGTGCATTTACGGTCGTCAACATTCGCCGATTCAAGGACAATGAGTCATAGCTTTTGAAAAAAAACAGTGAATTTTATCAGCAAAATGCAATCTTTAAACCATGTGTAGTATAAAATACGTCTTCTGCGGGCCACAGTGGTACACTTGCCAGTTGCTAATTACCAATCTATAGAGGGCACACAAAAAAGACGCACTTCACTCGGTGGCGGAACGCTACGTCATTTAGCGTACATGATCGAATGTCTCACCTGTACTGAGAGACCCGGGGGACGTCGGATGGTCCTTCGAAGTTCTTATGGTCCAGACCTGACTTCACCATGTACCAGCCCATCAGGCCCTGTGGATCCAACGTAATCGATACATCAAGACATACAGACTGAATAATAATGCAAGAGTAAAAAGCAGGCAAGCGAAACTCAAATCCCCAAAAGAGTTACTGATAAAGTAGCACGAGAAATTCCGTCCTGATTTCGACGCATCCGCAAATAAGCAAGACGACACCTGAAACACATTCAATGGTACAGAAATAACTACTGCAAGGACAATTACGCGCATGAGCTAATATCACGTTGTGAAATAGTTTGCACGTCCCAAAAATCTTCCGAAACCACGATATCCCAACCCAACCATCAGAACAGCAGAGGTCCGTTAACTCACCTGCAGAAGAATCAGCGAGCCGAAGATGGGCACGCGCCGCCTCATACTCTTGGTGAAGTAGCCCTTTGTCCAGAAGTAGACAGCCGGCAGGGCGAAGGTAGCGCCGATCAGCCGGCCCCACATCCGGTGACCGTACTCCATCAGCCAGATGAACTTGAAGTCCGACATAGTAATGTCCTTGTTCTTACTGAAGACAAAAGAAAGTCGTTTGTGAGGAAAACAGAAGATGTGGCTTGATATTTTTATACAAAACTAGAATATTTTGTTCATTTTCCTTTTCATACACATTCTACAAACTCTATGAACTGTTTCCGGGGAAAGAGAAACATAAGCTCGGCGATGCGCCGAACTGATGCTTCACGAGCCGTCACCCGCACGCACTTGGCTGAGGCTGCGGCTGCAAGACAAAGTAATACACTTAGCTTAGACAGACAAAGACGGCTCGAGTTGGTTACCTGGTTAGTGGTTACCTAATTAACCCCACGCCACCGTGAAGCAGCCCTCGCTATCGACTTCGGCCATCGCTCCGCCGTCCGGTACTCACAGCTGAAACTCGGGGTAGTGCCGGTACTTTTCCAGCTCTGCCTGCCACTCGATCTCCGACTGCGGCCACGACCTGCCCAGCAGCTTCCAGTCGACCATCGACAGGCCCGACTCGGTCAGACGGGTCACACCGCCTACGGGCATGGCGGGGTCACCGGTCAGAACGATCGTAGCACATACAGGCGTCGGAGAGCAAGACAATCAGTCACTCCAAGGACACAACGCGGAGATGAGAACAGTTTGACTGGCTATAGTACAAATAGAAAACGATATAGGCAATCCAAACACACCTCAGTTGACTTGAATATATATGATAGAATTATGTGTAGAAACTGCCTATTTATGAGCGAGCACGTCCGTCCTCCATTGCACTGTACACAACGGAATCCACCTTACACTTGACTGAATAACGCTGCTTGGGTTTTAACCCGCGCCCTGCTGGGGGGGGGGGGGGTGTTTGAACACCCCCCCTTGTGGTTTTTCGCGAATATCTCAAAAACGGCGGCGCGGAGCGCCGCCGTTTTTGGTACACCTTATCATACATCAATTCTACACATGTTGTGAAAATTTCAGACCAAGGTCATTCAAGGTCAGGTCACCAGGTCACTTGAAGTGACCTCACCTCATAAAAAGTTTCAATGTCTGTCATAGCTACACCGAGTGACCGATCGCTTTGAAACTTTCAGCGATTGCTAAGAGCAATAGCATGTATAAAATGTATATCTCAGAATTTTTATATCGATGACCTAAGGTCAGGTCAATTTTGCGACCTCCCCATTATAAGTCAATGGGAGAAAATTGAAATGCGCCTCTTTTGGACGAAAGACATTATAAACACTCCCAAACACCGAATTACAAGTGGTTTAGACACACAGAACATAAAAATGGTGTCCGTGACCCTTGTTTATGCCCTGAGGTCATCTTAGGTCACGAATGGTATCTAACAGTTTTTCGCAAATAACTTTTGATAGAGGCATGCTAGAGCGATGAAAACGCCTTAGATGTGTTCATCTCGACGATACGGATCGACTGATATGCAACATGACCCTTTCCGGTCAGGTCATGACCTTGACCTGAGGTCAAATTTTCAAGTTGACCTTTCAAGGTCAAGTTATAGTTCATTCGATGCGTCTTGACGAGAGGAGCACGATGCCGGTAAAAGTAAGCTCGTACAAGGCTTGGGTCAAAAGTTATTGCAGAAAAACTGTTTCCGAAAAAATCGGCTATTTTTGCAGTTTTTGCCCCCTGCAGGCAAAACCGTTGACGTTAGGTCAAATCTGAGAGAATTACTCAGAAAGGGCGTTAATAGGGCTATCGAATGCGCTTTTCCGCGGCGCTGTAGCTCTATTGGTTCCTGAGTTATGCGTTGGCTTCTTGACAATTTTCGACATTCGACCTGGAAATCGGCGAAATTTTGCCTTCAATGACCTCTGGTGACCTGACCTTTGACCTGACCAAAAAATTGACCGAAGTGATTTCCTCATTATTTTTGACGCTCTTTCGAACGCCGCCTTCCGCGTATCGCTACGTGGCCCAGGAGCCGAGTTACAAGGGGGGGTGCTCAAACACCCCCCCCCAGCAGGGCGTGGAAATCCAGGACCCCCAGCCGGGCGCGGGTTAAGGACGCCCGGATTTAGGGTCACCGGCGTCTTCTGTCTCTATCCCGCGGGCACTGACCAAGCATGACGGCTCCGAAGACCATGCCGGTGCAGCCCATCAGCCAATAGCCCACGGCCTTCCTGGCCGACGGCGCCAGCTCGGTGGTGGTGCTGGCGGCGCTGCTGGAGGCCTGACGAAGTGCGCGCGCCACACCGCCCTGCGGGAAATGGGGCAGTGGCTATCAAATGGAAACAGTTCACCCAGTGGACACAGATAAGGTGTCATCATCAGGCAGTGATGAAATGAAAGCAAAGATACACTCAATGCAGTTGTGATTTTGAGATGATTACTGAAGTGGACATTCACCTGAGTGGAACAATAAGCCTTGAAACTTGTGCAACCACCAATTATATCAGAATGTGCACAGTGGAAATTGATCTGGAATTTAATGAAAATATAAAAATTAAAAAAGAGTTTTACTCACATTAAATACATTCTTCAGAGTTGACTCCTGCACCTTTGTAGTTCTTGCAAATGAGAGCTTTGCAGAGCTTTGGAGCCCACTCTGAAACACACAAATTAAATCAACATGGCTATTGACACATGCATTCAGAAAGGCAAAAATAGTACTAGAGTAACCATCTGTCTGAAACTGAAATATGGCATCAGTGCCTTTTACCATCTCCAGTAACTGACTGATAGTTGAGTCATTTAGCTTTATTTGACATTTGCTGTGGTTCTGGAGTACACAGTAACAGCCTGCTATCAAGTTATTCAACACTTAGACACTATATGCAGCATGGCTACAATTAATAACAATCTGTGGTTGATGGCATTGGTACTGCTTGCAGGAAAGGGTCAAGAGCTAGGCTAGCCACTGGCAGGGAAGTGGGATGGCCTATTTTTTCCTGTGGCAATACCAATGAATGGTCAACAGAACTGAGTTAGAGAACTGAGGGCCAAAATATCAGGTTATACCTATTTAGTGCCAGGTATATGTCTGGTGCTGAAGCAAACATTTTGATAGGACTTCTTTCTCACTAAATGAATCAGAGCAGTAGCATACAAAACAAATCACTGCTAATGGTGGTCAGTAAACGGATCCCAGTTGAGCAGGTGAAATTCAATTAACAGTCAAATGAGCTGATCATGGCTGCATGAGGATTTTCAGTTTCAGCTGAAATAAACATGTTTATAAGAGGTAGGTAGCTGGTATGCAGTGTTATGTTTGGGTGTGCAAACTACCAGTACCAGCTCAATTATTTTTGGACTTATAACAAATCAGTATGCTTTTCTTGGTAAAAAGTATGCCTCATTAGTATCTTATAAGAGTGACCTGGGTAGACCATATTACATAACTGCCTGTGTGTGTCAGACAAAACTAATAATATTACAGCTTATAATGAGTTACTCATAAAAATTAATAAACCTGATGTTGAATACATTGTTCTCTCCTGCATTGTAGGTAGGCACTACTGGCACACCGGGAATGATACAGCTAAATTGATGATCAATTTATATACAGTATGTGCAAACACCTAAGTACTCTTGACTCTTAACTCACCTTAAGACTGTTAACAAACTGAAGTGACATATACTTCCCACCCAAGCCATATGCTGGCAAGGTACATAGCTTGCTCAGAATCATTTTGCTTTGCTGAATCCCAAGGTGACAAGTTATGTAATCCTGTCTTCTTCTTCAGCTATCTGCAAAAAGAAAAAGTAAAGCACTGATCCATCCAACAAGTATCTGGATAAATGGAAATTGTCCAGCCACATCAAAAATGCAAGTTCTAAGCCAATCCTTATTTCCACAAAACGGGACAATATCGCAAACTGAAACTGAAACGATGTAAGCCACCAACTTGAACTAGTCAGAGAAGTGTAAACAAGTGCGTTGGTGCTGATGCAATAGCTCAGTACGACACTCCAGGAGGAAAATTTCCAACAAGGTTTCGAGACAATTGTAAAGGGCTATGTAAAAATAAGAGATTTAGCCATAACATTACAATACTCTTCAGAAATAGGAACTTCTGAAGAAATAAAACCACATAAACTTGCTGCGCCAGGTATAGAAATGATGCGCAACTATTGACTTTGTTATTTTGAACAGCTGACTGTTTCTATTTTACTGCAACTTTTACAATTTTCATGCTTATCATATGACGATATGACGATGGATTGCCCAAATCAGATCATTTTTTGGAAAGAAGGCAAATATTTCTCTCAGAAAGTTTGCAAAATGAAATATTTAGCTGAGTAAGTGTCAACTTTAATGAAAAGGCATCACTTAAGCTTATCTCAGACATGAACCTAAATCACGTTTGCCCTTTGAATCGATTTGTCATTTGTTGTGTCGAGTTCTCTTTAAAAATACCATCGTTCAAAAGCTGAATTTCGTTCATATGTAGCAGATCTCTGGATTTCATCGAATTGCTTCACCAAGAAACATTCTTTCAACATTTTTGCATGATATTAGGGAAAGGAAAACAGCTTGGTATAATTGCGCCACTATTGTAACACTTTTGACAAGCATTCTGTTCGTCAGCAGGACTTGTGGCTGTAAGCTTATGTATTCTTCAGTATCCATAGCAACAACGTAAAGTATTTCAAATAGTTGGCATTGAAAGAGGATTATTTCTAATCTATTGCATGAATTGTTTCATTTTGAATCAAAACAATTTGCAAATCGCTTCGTTGCAAGGATTAACTTCGACGTGGAAATGTGCATGACGTCATCGACACTGACTTGACACTTTCAACAATTGTCACACAGAACAAGGCCATTCGCAAAAAGTAAATTGCTTTGTAGTGGGTGGAGGTTGTGGACGAGTTCAAGTTCTCTCGCGATAGGTTGTATTTTTATTTATTTTGAGTGTTAATTGAATCGTGGGGTGTTGCAAGATATTGCCACTATTCTGGTTACTGGTAGGTTCATGGGGAATGGGTTGGTTAGTTAAGACATTGTAATGTCCTAAATGATTTTTTCGACCTGTGTTGCTGGCGTTGATTGATGCTCTTAATCTTTGAATGCAGCGGTGGACAGTTGTGCTGGACTGCGGTTGCACAAGCTTCCAATTCCATGCTAGCTTGGCTTCGAAGGTGCAACAGATAGAAAAACACGGAACAAATAGTGCATGGACGCGTTTCGAGTATTAAATCTTCATCAGCATGACATAATCACAGAGAAAACAAGATATAGCACACAAACATTCGAGCTCGTCACAGTGCAATCGTCTTGATTTTAAAAATTCATGCATATGACATATTCGCTACTAATCCGCCTGTAGGAGAATATCCACGAAAAATGATAGTAAAATAGATCACTGACATACATATGACACATGGATAACAACAAATTTGTACAGAACGATCATGAACAAGTAGGTACTTCATTTAGTCAATGTTTTTCTACTTGTCTCCATCAATATACATTTGTGCAACAGATGGCGGAAGTCCTGTCAAGGTCACCACATGGGAGTTGGGCGGTGGCAGATCTGTTGCGCCCTTGCTGCCCAGTTTCGGCACAATTGTCCACCATTGACTAAATGAATTTTTTTACATCTTTGATAGTCAGGTTTGTATTTTATATTCATGAACATTCAAGGAATATATTGAAAATGTACCTTTTTGTTGGTAATAATCATGTTTTAGTTCACAATTTGTGCTGAAGAATTTGTTTTGTGGTTTTATTACCTTATCAATGTAATAAGTTGGCTCCTGGCTAGTTGATGATTTCTAGCAGGATCAAGATCACCTCATAACAGGTGATGTAAACAGCAAAGGTGTAGCAGTTGGAGGTCAGAGGTGTGTTCACTAGCTCATTGATCAGATCACATTTACCATTCTGGGTCCATGCCTTTTGAATTTCATACTCCTGTTACGAGGTTTGTTATGGCTGCATTCTAACAAAGGAACCAATGCTGCCAATATGTGAATCCCAGACAATGCCTTTGCTAAGTAATTTTGCTTTTCAGGGAATGCAGCTTGAGCCAATACTGATGAAAAGCTAACATTCCAAGACATACTGCCTCCTTGTGTTGGACAAGTTGTTACACTGCAGCTGTGCTATGGAGAGCTCTGAGAAAAACATCTATCAAGTTATCAGGATTCCTGTAAGTATCTACTTGTTTTGGAGTATTGTACCCTTTCAGGTGTGCTTATTCGCTGACTTCGCCTGGCTACGGCCTGCCACCAGGCACCAACCGCAACCATACCTGTCAGGAGGCCCATAAATGTCAAGCGCCCATCGCGCTTCGAACCCGAACTGTTGTAACCGGGAACGCGTGCTCTCACCACGCGGAGACCAGCGCTCTACACTGGGCTACGGGACCGGAACTTTCCACTGTACCGACTGGGCTACGGGACCGGCTGTGGCTACAGGTGACTATCTGAGCTGTTTGGTTGAAGTACGGATCTCACAATGGGATTGTACCTCACTTATGGTATTGGGGTTGATGTTTACAGCCGATACCAGTAACCATAGGCTATCGACAGAAGGTGCAGTAATTCTCTCTCACGACTGGGTTTCCGGGGATTACTATAACAGCACGCGCCATCATTATTCGAACTTTTACTGCTCTGGCATTTACTTCTCGGTCTCTTTGCTCAAGGTCTCGATAAGCACAGGCATTGACGGCGCCTGAATAAGTCATTTTTTATTTCTTTCTTTGACTTCAGCATGCAATATTATGTGTAGTGATTCGCTGGCTGCAAGCCAGACAGATCATCGAATTGAGACGATTTTTTTTTTTCACGAAGCAACAAGCCGCCAGTTTGTCCAGTTACAGTTGTTTGATTATGACTCATTCCATTTCACGAACGACCATATCCCATTTTCCACTAGAACTCATCTTTAGGGAGCCGTCTCAGTCTCGGTGTTAGAATCGATCCTCCCACACTAGACCCAGGCTATCTGTCAAACGGGGTCATGGTAGTCTGTATTTCATGGCGAGATATCTTTCTATCCTCAAACTTTTTTTTTTACCGAGATTCTTGCTTCATCGCTTTTTTTTCTCATCATGAGTCATGGTGAGGGTGGTACGTAGCTTGAGTGATGGATAGTGTTTTTTTTTATCTAAACAGGTATTGTGTTAAATGCACCGACTGAGCCAGATATCGTCTAGCTGTCGACTTTTGTTAGCATTCAGCTCCCGCAAGTGCTGTTTACTGAGGACTGTGACTCTGCTGGTGTCGCGCGGTGACTCCGTCCTGGGTCGGTCAGAGGTCTGTTCAGTCAGCCGCAGTATGAGTAACGCGCCATGGAGACCGACGACGCCACGTGGCGGTCGTCCGACGTCCCCCTGTCGGTGTCGACGGGGCGGCGCCGTCGCGTCGGTCGGTCGGTCGGCCACCGCCCGCGGGCGGCGCCAGCTGTCTCCGGTCACAGCGCCGCCAGCTGTGCGCCAGTCACGTGACGCTGGCCGTGCTGCGGAGCTGGAGTCAGGTGATGCGACCGCAGCGGACGCCATGTGATAGCCGCTCACTGTGCACTGTGCAGTACGGTGTTGTTGCTGGCGTCACGCAGCGAATCCACTTGTCACACCGAGTATCATAGGCGTCACGCGTCAAGTGACGGCGAGTGACGTTAAGTGACGCCGAGTGACGTCGAGTGACGCTCTCCGGCGCGATGACGGTGGATTCGGTGACGGCGGCGTCCCGTGCCCTTGGCCTGCCCCCGCTGCCGCAGGTAAGGACCCACTCTGACCTCGGAGGTAACCGACGGCCGCTGTGGCAGCTGACACTCTACGCCAGACCGCCGCTGGATGGGCCAACTATTGTCAGATCTGGAGCAAGGAGAAGTGGGCACTCGGCAGCAGCGCCTGTGGCTTGGCGGCGAGTCTCCGTACTTCTGCGGTTTCGAAACACTTCGGCTTTGTCTCCTCATTTCATTGATTGTTTTGTATCTTTGTTGCTTCTACCTTTTTCTTTCAGTCTCCAGGCGGTCTCCGGCAGCCTTCTCGATCTCAGTTTTCCGCTCTCCACTTTTCTCCGTCGCTGGTTTCGGTGGCCGTGGCTGTGGGTTTTCTAGCCGTGCCTAATCAGATCGGAGTGCGGCCCACTGCTGGGCGGCGCGGCGAGCGGCCACTCCATTACTCCATTTACCCAGATTCCCAGCGGGTGACCGGGTGGTGACTGGTGGGTCGGTTTCGATCCCGTCAGATGGGTGGTGGGAGCTGTGGCCGCGCGGTGGGACGGCACAGTTCGGCGCCGGTGGGACGGCTCAGATTGGCGGGCGGTGGGAGCGGCCATTCGCTGAATGATGCTCGGCGGAATAAGTGCCGACTGATGAGGCAGTGGTGGCCGGTACGACTGGAGCGGGTTAGGACGTGATGGCACCCATCACCATTAGCGTTATAGTCGCCCGTAATAACCGTAATGACAGCCACGGCGCGATCAGCAGCACCCAGCGCCGGTTCGTGATCGCACCGTTATGATTGTTGAAACATACAGTTAGTTTCTTTTTTCGTTTGTTTTGGTAATGTCCAGGCGTGGGAGTTGACCGAAACAGCTAATGCCTCGCAGCCAGTGAGCTTGTTTGGAGAAGCTGTTTTCCTGCAGCCTGCTGTTCCTATGGCTTTGTTTGGCATGATTAGCGTTCTGAATTGTCGAGGAAAAACCTGACCTGGAATGGAATGGAACAAAGGCCTGAAATTGGCCCGCGCCACTGGCTGTGCGGCGCCCAGCGGCAGCGGGTGGGCGAGCGGCGCGCGTGCTCGTTGTGACCCTGAAGATGGCGAGCCCGCGGTGTGCGGCGGCCGAGGAAGGCCACCGCTGTCCGCTGGACCCACTGAGTCAGGACAGGTTATGCCGAGCTGAGGCTGGCTGTTATGGGCATTGGATGCCCAGTGCCCACTGAGGAATTCAGATTCGCGTTGTGGAGACTAGACAGTTAGTAGAAATGAAGGCCGGATTTGTCGGGATGGTATAGATGTCAGGATTGTCAAGCTGTCGGTTTTAACAACAGCACTCATCGGCCTGTACCTGCTGATAACTGGCTCAACCACTCTAGGCATAGGTATACCTTCAAGGATTTTGTGGTCTGACTGGCATACTTGTGTATTTGTTTGGCTGCGTTTTTACT